GCCCACGCTGGCCACCATCGCCTCGCGGCTCTACGCCCACGCCAGCCTGGAGAACCACGTGCGGCTGGCCGTGGTGAAGGTGGTGGCGCTGGGCGAGAAGGACAAGGGGCTGGAGGTCACCAGGAACGCCGCTGCCACCCTCAAGAACTTCTGCAAGTGGCAGCACCAGCACAACCGCCTCGACGACGACCACGACGAGCACTATGACGCCGCCATCCTCTTCACCCGCGAGGTAGGTCAACCCCCCACCCCGTTCCTGCTGCCCAAATGCCCCCGCCAGCCTTGGTTGTCCCGGAGCACTATGTTGTAGCCGTCCCGGCAGTCCTCCGGCCAGCCCTGCCCCGTGCATTGCCCATGCTGGCAGGCAACCCGGTTTGCCTGGTGCTTGCCTCCCCCATCACCTCCTTGAACTTTCATTGAGTTGCAGTGCGTCTCAGGGACGGGCCCCTTTGTGTGGCACTGCTGGGCATGGATGCGGGTTGAGCACCTGGTAAACCTGTGGCCCCCCCACCCTTCCCCATCAGCATCTGCAAGGTCCTGCCCAGGGCAGGTCCGCGGTCATCCTGGTGGCTGCAGTGCTGGCACCTGTGCTGGGGTTGCACAGCAGTGTTAATTTGTCTGATCTAGACACATCGCCATGAGGGACTAGGCTGAGACCAGCTAACTGATCTCCGTTTGAGAGATGACGCTGTTTCCCAGCGAGCTGTTTCGCACACATCCCCCTTCCCCTTGGGGAGGTGGTCTGCTCACAGAGCTGGTAGCGCTCCCCAGGCTGAATTAACGTCCCGGTGTGCTGTGCGCAAAACGGATGGAGTACACCTTAAAAGAGCAACGCGACTTTCTTGTTGAGTCTGTTGACATGCTCTTCCCAGTGTGAAAGAATAGCTTCGCTAAACTGGAAGCCGGCAACACTTGTGGTTCAAGGCTAGGACGTAAATGTAAGCCGCAGGTAAACAGAGCTGTACAAGTTCCGTGCGTCGGGCGGTGGGAAGGGGATGCAGCCTCTTTCTTGTTCCTCGAGTGAAAAATGGGCGTCCTGAGCAGCTGCAGGTCTGATCCTGCCAGTCTTACCCATGCAAAGCCATGCATCACTGCCTGGCTGGCTGTTAATTATTTGCCTTGCCAGAGGTCGTTAAGGGACATTGCTGTAGTAGACATGTGGCAGAGTTTATGCAATGAAATGAAGTTCTTCTGTAAGAATATCCCTTTGGCGGTTTGGGTTTGGTGTTTTTTTTTTTTTCTTCCCCAAGTACGAAAAAAATAACTGCATGACTTTCCGTTAGTTTGAGTTCTCCTGCTTTTCTACATCATAGGAGGCTGCCAAAAAGGATGCTTTGGATGGTTTGTGGAAGGAGTTGCTCCAGAAGAGGGGAGGGCAGTGGGGGGAAGCTCCTGGCTTGCTTTTATAGCTGTAAATAGTTGAAACATTAGGTTCTGTGTCAGTCAGGCATCACTTGTGCAGCAGGAGCCTTTTTTAGCAGTTTAAAACCCATCGGTCCAATTTGCAAGCTTTCATTTTTTTATCATTGCAATCTGAATGAAAGCAGGCTACCTAGGCTGAGTCAGAATGCTCTTCCTTTTTGCTATAAACAGTCCTTTTAATGGCTTATTAATTAAGCCTGGGCCAGAATCCATCACTCTTTCATTAAAGAGTGTGTTTCTCTGCCAGTATTCCCATTTTTTTCCGTGGGATTCGTTACAATTCAGAGACTCTTAGGACGTCAGATTGTGAATCTTAGCATAAATTATTAAGAATAAGCGTAATGCGTAGCGATTTAGCAACACTTGAATGTTAATTTGGATTAAGATAGGATGTGAATTAAGATAGGATGTGAATTTGAAGCACACTTGCTTTTCAGGTCATTATCTTTAATTCTTTGCGTGGACGCCCTCATACCAGAATGAGAGAGCACTTAGTGGTAATCTACTTTCAGAGATTGCCCAGTAACGCTTCTTCGGTGGGTAGACTTACTTCTTTGGATGTAAACAACATTAACAAAATATCACAGTTCCTGTGGTCTTGTTCCGCTCTTAAGATACCAATATTGTTTGCATACTTAACGACATAAATGCTTGTCAAGAAAAAAAGAAGCACAGGCTTCAGTTTGCTTGGTTTATAACTTGACGTGTATATCTTAACTACTGGATTCGCTCATCAGATAGTGTAATTCAGTATAACGTAATCTAATGGTTCGCTGTGTGGAGAGGCAGACTGTTTGGCCTTGCATTTCAAACTCATTGGGGTGGCTTGAGAGGGATATTGGACTCAGTAAGAGCAAGACTCAGTAGTTTCTTACTGCATGTATTCATAGATGTTCATTGTAGGGAGTATGTGTGAATCTGCACCAGTTTTGTACACTTAGACATGAAATGTCAAAATGAGTCTACTGGCATATAGCAGAATGTAAACATTAAAGAATGAGAAAGGATCAGAGATGCCTCCCATAGAAAACAGCCCCATTATGAGCTAAAGAGAGATTTTTTCCAGTGTAGCTTTTCAATGAGAGTAGCAGCAACTGGCAGGAAGATCCAACCTTTACAACTATGTTTTGAATGTATGAAGTTCGTTGCTTAGCTACTAGACGCCGAGCCATGGCTCCTTCCGTGTTTTGATGGGCTCTGAATACCGTCAAGCTAATTTTTGTACATCCAGATGTCTTTTTCTAAATGGCTTGTTTTTCAGGCATGGAGTTAAAATGTGAGGTACATTTTCCATCGTTGTTTACTAACTGAGGCCACCTTGAACTTTGTGTCTCTGCGTCAACAGAATAATATTTGCAAATCATTTGTCAGCCGAACACATGTCCTCAACTGTATGTAACTTTAGAATCTAAATTATGCATGCCTGTTGCCATACAGGTCTCTAATATAATAATTATCTTCATTCTGGAGCGACATTTACTTGGATGTTATTTTTGACACCAAAAGAGGCTCTCTTAAAGGCTAGTAGCTTTACCTGAATTTTTTGTAAAGGAAGAATTCCATCAGAGTTAAGAACTATCACTTCTTTCTCTTCTGTTATTAAAGATAAATTACTAATCATTGATAGACTGAGTATACTGGCAGCTCTCCCTTATATCTCTCCCAAAATAAGTGCCAGCCGTTCAAATTATCATCATCATCATTCATATTACAAGTATTTCCTATGTAAAAAGATTTTTTTAGTCTGTATGTCCTTTGATAAGGACTTTACAGCAATCATGCTGCAGAATACAATAAAGTAAATAGTAAATAAATGAAGAGATGAGTTTGGTTTGGGGTGATGCAGGCGAAGGCTGTTAAAACTATTTTAATATTAATTCCCACTATACATTGCTATCAGTGATGGCAAGGACCATATAACTGTATCCATTAACCGCAGTGAATCATATGTGTACTCTGTAACTACAAGGAAAACTACAGTAATGTGTCAGCATTATCACTCATATAGGAAATTGTAAATAATGCCTACAATACGCACAGAAGTTATGTAACCCTAAATATTGCAGAAACTCAATTGGGTTACACGATGATTATTTTAAATTCCCAAAATCTGATGAAGAGAAATATATTTTCCTAGTGATCCTGAGCTGTCGTTTTTACCCACTGTGGCCTGTATCAAGTCTGGTAGAGAGCTGGGTTATCAGTACCAAAATGTCATAGAAAGTGATAGTTTTTTAATAAATCCTGTAAGAGCTCTCATGAAGGCGGATTGGCCTTAACAGCCTTAGAGACTACATGGATCCCCTGCTGTTCGACTTTGTACTTTGTGGTTGAGTCCTTGACAATAGCTGTAAATTGTTAGGCCACATGCATCCTCAGCGTGTCTTACGCAGATCTGAATATGGATGCAACCATTAGGTCATCTGGCGGCCAGGTGGGTCGTCCTTGCTGTATGGAGGCAGAAGGATGGCTGTGTAATGGGAAGGAAGAAGAAGAGCCGGTGCACCCCCTTTCCCTTGCAGATGATTAGCTCAATTTGTTCTCGATGTCAGTGAAGTCAACAGCAAATTTAGAATATGGCCCGTTTCAAGCTTTTCAGTTGTGAACAGTTCTCTGAAGCTGGAAACAAGTTATTTTCTGCTGTTATATTTTTTATTGACGCAAAAAAATGCATGTCAGATTATTTGTCACAGTGAAAATACCCGTTAGATGTGAATTGCAAACTGCATTTGAACTCAAACTGTTCTTTCCTGAGGTCTAACCTTCTCTGCAATTATCCTGTAGGATTCACTCAATCTGTTTCATTAGTGACCCTTAGTTAAATTTCAAGTGAACTTTTGAAAGCATTTGGACAAAATCCAGTTCTCTTCCTATCCTTTCTCCCCAGTTCTGAAGTATGTGAAAATTAAAATAGATATCTCTCACAGCAGATATAGGCAACAAGAACAAGAAAAAATACTTTCCGAAGTGCTTGTTATTATAGTGATAGTACCGTCATGCCTGGATCTAACAAAAAAGTTCATGTTAGAGCCAAAGGCCACTGTCGTGCCTTTTTCCACACTGTAGTTATATGGGTCTTGTGTGTGTGATTTAGTTTAACTGTCAATCTGACAGTGCTGTTGAAATTTAACAGCAAGCTTTGGATTATCTCAGCTCAATAGATGATAATTTCATTCAGTGGAGCACATGCTTTCTTTGGCTCTGCTTCTTTTGGGTTATTTTTCTTTATTTTCCTTCCTAATATTATCATCCCATCCCACTTATTATCCTCTATTAGTAAAATAGGTCACTGTACCAACTGTCAATAGAATGTGTTTCACTAATATTTACTATTATTACTCTTAGGGAATTATAATGTGATGTTCCTCTCAGTTCCATAGCTTTTTCACCAATCCTGTTGCAACTCTAACACATTTAGAAGATATCCTTGGGGAAAATAAAGTGGGACATTATTTGTGTGGGAGAAATAGCATGATCCACACTAATCTGTGGAGATGGTGTGGAGTTTCCCCACAAAAGAATTGTGGGCTAAGCAAGTTAAATCAAATGTTTTTCCTTGTCTCAGTGAGACCGGCTGGAGTCCTTCCCCATTGCTTTACAATGATGGTCAGGCCCTCTCCCTGGTGCCCTGATCTGGACATCCCACCAGCGTTTCAGGAGCACAGCTTTTCACAGCAGGCTCCCTGCAGGGCAGCGTTCCACCGTGTGGGCTCTTATGGTCTCTCTTTGAGTTTCATGCTATCATTTGAGGGGTGAAATAGATCATTCCCTAGTTACTTTGTTCACCAATTAGCCCTAACTACCAGTATA